AATTCTAGCCACATGCCAAGAAATGACAAAACAGATTCATTCCAATGAGATCCAGATTTCACTCCAAGGGTAATTAAATTCTCAACAACTAAAGCACATCTATCTCTTAAAACCAGATTTCAATTATTATTCCAGAATCCTATATCCTGATAATTACATTGATGCTCATTCTGTATATACCCAAAACACTTGTTTTATTTATTTCAGTAAATAAAGACTCATATTGTTACCGAAGTCTACAGTAACAAGGAGTAAGAAGATTCTCTTTAGTCTTTTTCTAACATAGGGTCTTGTTACAACCTGATAAATGAGGGAACACTCAAAACAGTTTCCTGTTCTAAACCTATATGCCCAAATGATATTGGTTTAAAGAAAAACAAAACCCCGAACACCACAACCATACTCTCTAGAGTGTATGAAAGAAAGAAGCCAAAACTACTGGAATATTTTCAATCTGAATTTTTACTTCTTGCAAACTATTATACACTAGAAAATCATAGTGCCTTTAAAAATTAACATACCTCAGAACAGTGCACACAACTGTATTAGCTATCTTATTTTTTACGTAAATGAGAACTTTGACTTTCCAGAAATATTCAAAGCTTCACTCTGAATCAAAGTTCATGTACAAAAATTTGTTTTTTATGTGTCTACTTCATACAATGGACAGGAGAAAACAAACTAGATCAAACTTTGATACAGCAAAAGAGCTTCATTAGTCATCAAGCAAAGGAGCAATGAGACTTCAATTAGGATGCATGTTTTAGGATACATTGCTTGTATGTATTTTGAACATCCTTCCAGACAAAACTAATGAAAGCAAAAACATAGCAAGGATGATACACTATAGTACATGTTCGCATTCTAGGAAAGAGGAAAACATTTGTTTTCCGCTTTCTGAAATAAAATTATTTCAGTCCTAAGCAGTTATTACAAAAATCGTCGTAGAAATCAGACATTCAGTCCTTCAGATGCGTAACTAACAGACTTCTACTAAGGGAATGCTAACCCTACTCAGGCACAAGCAAGCAATATACTAATACAGTCTTGCCCTCTAATGAAATTCATTTATAGGAAATAAGAACTCAACCTTGACTTCAGCCTGGCTCTATAAATCAAAGTGGTTTGGGTTTCTTTCATTAAGACAGTTGCATTACAATCAAGAGCACAATTCAAGCCTAGAAACACAGAAAATGTGCAGATCCACATTAATGTTTGTTCAGGTTCTTTCTGGTTTCTGGTTTGTTTGTTGGTTTGGGTTTGGGTATTTTTCCTCTTTCTGTAATCAAACTGTTAATTTTGTTTGCAAGGCTTTTTTGGTTTTGAATAATTGTAATCTAAGATTTGATTACAACCACTCAGTGGCAGTGAAACGCAAAAACATTTTAATTATATCTTTAACTTGAGCTGAAGATAGTTAGTGACAAAATTGATGAAAGCCTATATTAAAAACTAAACAAAACCAAAACAAACACCAAAAAAACACCAGCAAAAAAAAAATAAAAAAAAAACACACAAAACACATCGGAAGCTGTACCTCACATTGTTGACCAGCTTCCTGCCATGAAACAGTAAAGCAGCTCAGTATGTAGCTGAAACAGAGAACGTGAGCAAACAGTACAGCTAAATATTGAGAATAAGTATTGACAAATATTGTCTATGTCAGTGGCTTACAGAACCATCACAGTTGCTCTGCTAAGCACCAGTCTTCTCACACAGAATTAGCAGAAATTCCACCAGCGATTTGGTGCTCAGCAGCAAAGATCAGTTGTCGAAAGAAATACAAGGAATATCAATGAAATGAAATGAATGCTTGAAGACTTGAAAGGAGTTCAGTTCTTAGAATGTTAACCAGTTGATTTTTGCCTTCAAAACTGGAAATGAAACGGAAGTTGGAATAGTGGAATAAGTTGTTTTCCGTTACACACACACATAAAAAAAATCCTCACAAGGTCAAAAAAAAAAAAAAAAAAAAAAAACACCCCTCGTGCACATCCTACCTAGCCGTCAGTTCCCATGGCATCATCTTATGAGAGGTTATTAAGAATTGTATAACTTTCAAGCCTCCAACACCGGATTCTGCATTTGGTCCATAGCTATCTGGCCAGCTAGTGAAAAACATAAGGACTGTCCTAAAAGAGGCCGCATTTTATTTTATTTCCCTACACACACCATGCCCTTAAAACCAAGCTCTACTGAGAGCAAAGATACTTGTTTTTCTTCTCCCTCCCTCCCAAAAAAAAAAAGGAACAAAAAGATTGAGTAGCCAGCAAGCTCCTTCCACCATCTTCCTATTCTTCTTGTCACTCCAGAAGCCTAGCTAACGTCCCACTGCAGAAGCTGCCTTTTCAAAAATGGTCAAAACATTCCTAATCTAAGATTACCCAGGAAGAGCTGCACTGCCATCTATGGAAAAATTTAGGAAAAATATTAATAGTTGTTGATATTAAGGTCAATACAGTAACAATGTAACAGTAAGATGGAAATAAGAAAAAGGCTGATGTGCATTAACCAGTACCAGTTACTCACCATCTAGTTACTTGAATTCAGCCACATTGCTTCTACTCACTCCAGCTTGATGCCATGGAAACTCTAGAACCAACTATATGTTTTGCAGATTTCCCTAGAAACATTAATTCCAAGGGCCAGTTAAACTGGCATCAGCTCAAAAACACTCAAAATTCTCAATTCTAATGCTTAACCACTGGATTTTGCCAGATACTAACTGCTTTTACCCTCACCACACCAGAAGATAGAAACCACATAATTTGATCACATATCTCCCAGCAATCAAAGCATCTGATGTGCTGATTATTCTCAATGCCTTTAGTTCTATTTTTTTACCTTCTTTATTCTTATTGCATGTAAAAAAAAGGAAAAACAAGGAACAAAAGTTACATTAACCTACATAAGAATATAATTCTTCAGATATAATGACTAACTGCATCAGAAATTCCTCTGCATCTTCAGATTAAAAAAATTATTCAATCTTTAGGCTAAAGAATTTAAACGTATCATGCTTTCTACCAAAAACAACATACATAGGGAATAAAAAAAACTAAAACCAAACTCAACCACCACTAAAAGCCAATTCAACAAACATTTCAGAGCTACAATTTCCCCTCAAAACCAAACCCAACTGAAAATACATTTATGTCTTACAAAAATAAAATATTATTGATGTTTCCCTCATTTAGATAAAAAGTCACAGTAAACACTGTGATTCTGAAATAGCACTAACAGGATAAAAATTAAAATGGATAGAAAACACAACAACTTTCTAGATTCAACCATAAGTCTTTAAACCTCCTCCTTTCTCTGCTTCCACAAAGCATAGTAAGTTCATTCCTTCATTTTTAAGCCCTCATTAAAAAGTTAATTACTTTCAGTAGAGGAAGAAATAAACAAAAAAGTGAACAAAAATATCAAAAGCTTCTAATGTACCTTTGCTCCACAAGGCTTTCAACAGCTTCTGTCAATCAGAACATTATCAGTTCACATACAGATACATGGAGGTCACATGTATCAAACCCCTTGATACACAGGGTCCAAAACATTGGAAAGTAGTGTCTTTTATTTGTCTGACAAACTACACTGTATGTATCAAAATATCTATATTTATTATTTTTCAAGGGCAAAGTTTAAAAACTTTTTTGCTGGCATGTGCATGCATGTGCTTGCAGAAAGGGTGCTTGTTTTTACAGCACCCTTTTTTGTCCCCTGTATGTCAATATCAGTAAAACTACAGAACTCATTCTGCAAGTCTCAAACTGCTTTTCCTAGCTGGCCACAATTACAACAAAAAGTTAATAACCATTTCTAGACTGTAAGCACTGACGCTCAACATCATTTATTTAAAAGAGAAAGCAAACCATAAGTATCTGAAAAAATATCAGTTATTTGTATGCAGTTACACAAGAATATAATTACATAGCTATGTCAAATTTTCAGGAGAAAGCTCTGCTATTCTGCTCTGGGACTACAGCAAACAACCCAGCTAAAAGTACAAATCAAAGTCTAAGCAAGTGCCACAAACCCTGACCAAGTCCAAAAGTACATTACTAAATTCACAGTGGTGTCACAGTATCTAACATGCTCAAAATACATGAAGCATGACACTGATTATACCATTTTTTTTTCCTCTTAGAAGCTCCAATTTTTAATACTGTGTTACTAAAATATGAGTTGCTTTATTCAAAAGTCTGTTCAGGTAAAGGAATATGAACAGTGAAAAGTGATGAAGAACAGACAGATAAGTTATTTTCCTCATGCCCACTAAAATCCCAGGGTTGGCTCCCTCACCTCAGCCGGAGGGTCACAGCACTGCAACAACTCTCCATCCTTTCTTAAGGCTGAATTTGAATCAGTCCTCAGACTGATTTCTTACAGATCTGTTACAACTTTAAGAAAAAAGGTTCTTACGCATCTTGTGTATCACATCCGAGACATACAAAGAGTCCTGCTATATGAGCTACAGTCGGGTATCTACCTTACAGATTCTATGCTTGAACAAGCTGAGAAATCAAAATAAACTTCAGTTCAGAAGGGTCCTATGCATTTACAGTATACAAACAAGATGACACAAGTCAGACAGGCAATAGCTATTTTCTTGCTTTTTCACTCCTAAGTTTAGTGACTGGTAGGAGATATTTAACCTATCATTTGTGGAAATTCCTTTCTTTATTCTTTGTGAGCACCACCATGAGACTGTGTAAGGATGGAGCTGTTCTGCCCTAACTTGAGACTAAGGAAAAAACAAACAAACAAAAAAAAAAAGTGTGACTCAAGGTCACCTGTCCAGGAACAAACTTCCTAAACAAGAAGTTTCAAAAACCTATCAACTACAGACAAAAGAAGAAACAATTCTGAAGTAAAAAAAAAACCAAACAAAACAACAACAAAAACAAAAATCCAAACTACACTAATTCAGTTTTCAAAAGAGATTTAAGCAATCAACTCAAAATACTACATTTAAGCAAGTTATACATATAAATACGTACTATGCTGTTCATTTCTGAAGACTCATAACTTCCACATGGATGGACACTTCCAATAGGTTCCAATCCTTCTTCATCCCACATATACGTGCCATCAGAGCTGTCAGATGGAGAAAGCTCAAAAGAAGAACCAGCTCTATAATTCATCTCTGGAGAAATCGCATTCTCGGCAGTATGCTTTGTGCTTTCACTGTTGTCATCCACTGCTTAGAGAAAATAGGAATAGTTGAGATAACAAAACCAATCCAATACTTCAAAAATGAATACTAAAATGTCTATTACTGGTACTTGTCTTTAACTACACTGTAACAGACCATCTGAAAGCATTCTACAGTATTGTTCACTCATCCTAGAGGGGAAAAAAAGCTCAAGCTGGTTTGGTAGCTACAACTAAGTATTCTTTCAACCTACATCTTTCCTGGCCTTTTACATTGCACTAATTCACCCATCATGAAAGCTACTTTCTAGAAATCAGTATGTTTTTAACATAAAAGAGGTGGGACCAAAAGTTTATCTTTTGGATCCAATCTTTCAAATGTAAGTTCTCTCAAAACAAGTATGTGGGAAGCCCATCATTGTTTTGAAAACACGGCTTTTAAAAACATCATCTGTCTCTTCAACTATTTTTTAAATAATTAATATAGCATGCATGGGGGGGAAGGGGCAATAGTGACACTGCCATTTAAAATTTAACTGATTTAAATTAGACTTATTCCCACTACTCAGCAGCATTACAGCTGTTCTCTGCCTACAGAGGCGGAAGGGAGAGAAAAAAGTTTTCTTAAAAGATCACCAGTCCAGAGAAGTGAATCACAAAGCAAGGATATGAAAAAATCCACAACCATACCACAAGCATGGTTAAAGGAGGAATCTTTCATTCTTATCCCACAGAAAAAAGTTCTTTAAAGTCATGCTTGGGAAGGAGAACTATAGTGGAGAAAAGGCACTGTAAGAAAACAAATGGGCCAGTATAGAGCAAAGTTCCATTCTGAAACAATTCACAAGCAACGGGCAATTATATGAAACAACTTAATTACAATTACAGGATCTTGCTTTAGTACATAAAATTTCAAACAGAACAGAACATAAAGTATTTACCAGACACATTTATATCAAGCCACTCATCAGTATTACAGCAAGATCCTCCACTTTCCTTGAGAGAAGTGAATGGTTCGATTGACATTATATTCCCATGATCTGATTCTTGATGGCAGTTTTCCTTTTCCGGTATTTGTATAGTTCTGTTTGGGTCTTCTATATCTATGAAATCATCACTGAAGTCTTCACTCAAATCAATTTTTTCAGAGGATGACAAAGAAGATATAGATATTTCATCTCCATCATCGCTCATACACATGACTTTTGACCCATGTTTTCCCATACTTTCATGCAAACCCTCATCAGATTCTGCTCGTTGAGCATTGCTCTCTATAACACTGTTTTTCTCAATTGTTCTGTTAATATTTGTTGAAATTGCAGAGTTCTCCATGATGCATGTGTCAGGAGTTGTCCTGTTGTTGCTATTGATATTTCCAGCAAATCGCTGCCGGGCAGGCTTCAGCAGAGAAGGTCGACTTAACCTGTATCCAAAAGAAGGTGCTGACCCAGATCCATTTGATAGTGGGGGCTTCTTTGAACAAGGAGTTGACATACCAGAGTAGGGTCTGGCAAATCCGTACTTCACAGGTTCATTTCCATTGGGTACATCCAACTGACATGCATTTCTTGACAACAAAGTTGACCTCTGAGATGTCCTGGCAGCTAGATTTTGAGTATGATAAGGCCTTGTAAGATCCACAGCTTTATTAAAAGAATGTGACCTGGTTAAAGATGCAGTGGGAAGGAAAGAATTCTGAATGGAATGTGAGAAACTTTGTGATCTTACCATTTTTTCACAGGAAAAAGCCTTGCTGTTGTCTGTAGATTGTGCCAAGCCTTCTCCTGAACTTGTCCTTGTGGAACTGGAATTAGCTCTAGGTCTCTGCAAACCTACCACCGTCCTATTTCCATATAATCCATTTAAATGTGATTTTGGAGCACTGAGTCCAGAATACGAGGTCCTTCCTGACAGGGTACCTTTGGCAAATTTTGCTGAACTAGAGAGTCCAGGCAAAGACTTTGGGTTTAATTCCTCAGTAGAAGATACAAACATATTGGTTTGTTTTGCTGCTTTTGATGTAACTGAAGCAGTACTGTTCAAACCCACCCTGAGCACATCATTACACAATGCTCCTTGAGATTGAGAATACTTCTGAGAATCAATTAATTTTTCATTACAGTTATTTCTAGAGTTGGTGTCTCTCCCATTATGATCATGAAGTTGGTATTTATTTGACTTTTTCCAGTTGAAAGAAAACGAAGACATGTGAACAGTGCCATTGTGCTTGCTGAAACTTTTGCCACCATTATTCCCTGCTAAACTAACAGCTGTCCCATTTGGCATAGGTTGCAAAACACTTCCTGAAGTTCTCGTTCCATATTTCGGTAGCCTGGAAACCAAGGATGTCCTGATTTGATTTTTTTCTTCCATGAGCTATGTGGTACATTGGTCCGTACAGGGTGCTTGAATCTAAGGGAAAAAAAAAAGAAAAAGCAACAATATCATACCTGAATCAACCACACATTAAACAAAAGAATTTTATATACATTTGCATCTATAAATTTATTACATTCCTGTGCCTAACTCTACCTGTATGGTGACACAAACTAGCCCATGCAAATTTTGTGAACTCCAGAGAAATACCAGTCACCAGCAGTTAGTTGGCAGTAATTGTTATTCAGGTCACACCCAGCTCCCAGCTTTCATTCTCTAGATAAACTGCCCTTTATCTATTTATTTATTTATTTTCCCTTCCCTTAGAAATCTATAAAATAAGCTTAAAAAGGGATTGGGTTTGTTGTTGGGTGGGTATTTTTGGGTTTGGTTCCCTCCCCCCCCCATTTACCTATTTTGAGCAGTAAACTGAATTTTTCAACTGTGTTATGATTATTAAATTACTTTTTATTTTAAAAAAATCCTACAAATAGAACATAACACAAATCTGTGGCCAGCAATGTAAAACTGCAAAAACTATATCTAAAATCTGACTAAGAGCTAATGTTTGTTTGGGATTTTTCCCTCCAGTTTCCCCAATGTCTGTAGTATGAGATACAATCCTCACCATAGCATTATTTTTCTAGATCTTATTGATGTCCCACATTCAAGATGAATATTCCTAGGTAGCTTTTCCTCTCTGAATGAAAATTATAGTCTATTTTGGTCATTATCTTATTCATGTACAAACTTCAGGTACAAAGCAACAGTTGGTTTAGGTCAGTGTTAGTAAGTGAATTCTAAAGTCTTACTTCTGTGCGGCAATACATGAATGCATCACCCTAGCTACAAGAGTATGAATTAAGTCACAATCACAGCATGCACACACTCCCTTGTATCTTGAATTTCACTCCCGTAAACCTGATTTGGAGTACAGAGACTCCACTACATTCTTTAATGAATATCTCAACTTACATTCATGCCATTTTGGTCTATTTCATATTATTTTATAAAGCCATATCTGCTTTATAGACATATCTTTTTGCCTTCCTTTGTTATACTGCTTTTTGTTTCTTCCTCCCTCATCTACCTATCCATCCTACTACTTGGAGAATGTCTGTACCACCCTTTTGTACAGTACTTAGCCTGTCATTTTGCCTGGCTATACAATACAAACAACTTGTCTGTTATTATTAAGATTTGCAATTCAGGTAAGGCCTTGAGAAGTCTCCAAGTTTCAATGCCACATCTTAAGACAAGTTTTGTATTAAATTTTCTATTTGCAAGACCAAGTTTCTGTTTTTTTTTCCAAGACAGTTGTAAAAGAATATCGCTTTTGCTAGCCTATACTTCATGTTTTCCTATGTTCCACTTGCTGGTCTTACAACAGTGTAAAGACACAGTCATTCACACATTATTCCCTGAAACTATTACCCATGTTTCTCTTTTCACAGACCTACACACACCTGGCAGGACTGAAAAAAAAAAATTTAACCACAACAATCATGAGAATCAACATACAGCAAGTAACATTATATTTATTCAAGGTACGGAAAATATCTTGTGTAACAGCAAGTATTACCTTAAAGTGAGTCACTCCCCAGTCTGCAAGGCCTCACAAAGTAACACTTAAGATAGAAATCAAAGTGGCCTTAAATTCATGCAAACTGAAGTACCCTTAGGATTTTGTAAATGAACAGGATGCCCCAGAGCTGTACTTCTGTAAGCAGATACACATTAAAAAGATATGAAGAAGAACACAGAGACATGGCTATTTAGGGGCTTCTACATAATGAAAATGTCAGAATCCACACACTACAAATGGAATGCATTTCCATTTAGAAACACACAAATCCAGAGTTTTCAAAAAGTTCTTGCACACCAGAGGCACCCTCACCTGGGTGTACAAAGCAGCACAACAGTTTTCCCCCCACCACTCCCTGCAACAGCAAACTGCAAACTCATTATACATAAGTGCGTGTATGTGGATTTAGGTGTCTAATGTTAGACCTCTCTCAAAAACAGTATGATGACCACCTACTAAAAAAAAAAGAAAAAATTTCACAGCAAATCAGTCATGTATTTATAACCATAAAAAAGAGCTTGGGTATTTGTAACCATAAAAAAGAAACTTGCCTACAGTATACCCATATAACTTGCAAATAAAAAAATCATTATGCTTTAATATCAAATGTCAGATATTTGTCAAATATATACAGTGAAGGCAATAAAGTATACCTTTTCCAAAAAAAAAAAAAAAACAACAAAAAAGAAAAAACAAAAAACCTCATGCATTAAACATGGCCTTTAATATCTTGATGAATTCATTCAAAACAAGCATTATACTGGGTATACATCAAAAGATACCCCAACTCTAACAAAAATCTTCAAGTCTCAAAGAAATCTTCCAAATTAAAAAAAGTTAAATTAGAAAGTTGCTAATTTAACTTTCCTGCTTTATGGATAATTCCCATTTCACATCTGTCTACCATCTCTTAGGTGACTGCAAAATTTAAACGAGGCCATTTAATTAGATTACTTTAATCCTCCACCAAATGCTGCAAATTGAACTTGAAAAGAAGACCTTTCAGTTCTCTAGGAAGGGTGCTTGCTCATTTATCCTTGATTAGGGAAAGACAAAGCATTATCTTCAAAAGTGTACTGATTGCTTAAAACACTTCAGATAATTAAATTAAAAAGACAAGTAATACTTGTCTGTGTTTTATTAGCTACTTAAGCGTAAGTACTGTCTCACCTTTTCAATTTTAGGTTGCATTTGTTTCCCTGAAATAAAATGCCACCAAAAACAAAAAACCCAAAACTTAACAGTACGGTGTCTGGAAGATGTTTCTTTTCCCAGAAAATGGGAAATTTTCTTATTAAATTCTCTTAAACATCCTCAATCTTGACATATGTTTATTATTAGAAATAAAACTACTCTAACCATTACATTCCTTTATCCAGCAGCACAGTACCTGCAACTTATAGTATGATTTCTACATCCCACAAAACTCAGGTTCAATATAATTTAAGTTGTAGTCTGCCGTATTATAAAGAAAATAGAAGTATTTTTAGACTTCAGCAATCTATACATTTAAAAAAAAAAAAAACCAGACTTTTAGGAAATGAGTCTTGTATGTTTTGCCTTGGGAAATACATTATCTAGTGCACACAAGCCTAATCAGGAATTAAGCTAATTATAAAGAGCCAAGCCTTACATAATGACCCAGGGAAAGGAATTAAACCCACAGACCCTCTCTGAAGTATAACCTAAGTTAACTGAAAAACTGCTACATCCTTACCTTCAAGGATATTCAAGATCCTGCTGATAAGCAAAAGGATATTCATTCTTTCTCTCCTTTGTGCTTTCTGCATTGGATTATTTACACCTCAACAAGCTCCTCCAATGTTAGTGTCAGCTAGCAAACACAACATTCACTTTTACTTTGTTCACAGTCTGTTTCAACACCACCAGAAAGGCAGCTTCCTACATATCAGCTTCTCAGCAAAGTTAAGCTTTGTATCTGAAACTCCACCCTACACATTTTGGAATTATTATTACAGCAGAAGACAGCTTAAGGTTCACACATTTCAGTGTTTGGACACCTTAAAATACTGCGATCCCTATGATCCACGCCGCCAGATTGCTAAACAGCATTTTCAAGTTCCAAACAGATTACTCTGAGTGGGACCAAACTCCTCTCCTACTATCGCAGCAGCATGGAATAAACAGCTGCTGGATGAAACGCATCTGACAGACTGGCAACAGATGAGCAATTCTGCAGAGCTATTGCTATGTCAACAGTTTCAGATCTATGTTTCATTATTTTTCTCGATTTTAAGACCACTTAAGCAGAAGTACCGAGTAGCTAACTTAAAACACTTTCCTTAGAGCAACTTCCTTCCCAGTATGAATAATATTTTTCTTGAGGCAGAGACAAACTTAAAGTAACAGGATTGATACATTTGCAACAATCCTCTTGTAACAGGATTGTGCTGGAAAACCAAGATAGTTAACACCACCTTGCTGCTTCTGGATAACAAAAATGGTGCTTTCATGTAGGTCTGTAAGAACCTGGCAACTACAGCGGTACACAAGCTTCCTTACCTACCCCAAAAGAAATCATGCCTATCGTTATCCATGTATCAGCAAAAACCAATTATTAATCAGGTTTTGGATGGTTTTTGCTTTATTGGGGGGAGCAGGGTAAAGGAGGTATTTGGTGTTGGCAGACTGACAGAATAAATGCTATGAAGCTCTGTTAATATTTCTGCCATTAAGTACTTGATGTTACTGTGACATTCTCAATGAAATTTTAAAATGGGCAGTTACATGAAAATACCTTATTTATACCAATATAGGGATGTAGTGAATTATAAGGGAAAATATTCCAGGGAGGACCTTGAAATAGATACAGCAGAAAGCGTCTTTAGCAAGTACTTAGGAACACTGCAAGATGCTAGCATAGCTGCAAGCCAATTTTCAGCTTTAAGAGGTCCACAGGAGCTTACCACCTGAAAAAAAAAGATCTAGCCAGCAAACACCTGCTCTGAACAGGACAAGTTCTGAAGAATTAAAGATGATGAATTCTGAGGAAATTGTATATGGTGTATGAGTTAAATCTTCCGAGTGATTACACTTCTGAAAGTTTACAACTATCGGATTCTTTTGTGTTGCTTACCCTGCACAGACTGGCTCCAGGTAAAAAAGCTGCTTTCTCTTATCTCCAAGATCCAGTAAGATTTATCAGCTTTGCAGTAAAATCCTTCCTTCCTTTTCCTGTCTTCAGTGCCTCTGAAACTCTTCTGTCAAATCAATTCCCAATGCTTTATGAAGTAATCCATGAATTTTACTGTCTGTTCTATATCCAATCTGCATAGTGACTACTACTAACTTCTTTAACAGTCTATTCTTTGAAGGTACCATAGTCATAACATATGACACTCAATGCTTAGTGTACCTTATCTCTGAAATAATCTTGTTCTATATTTGAAGTTTACAGATTATGTTCCCAGATCTCAGAGAGCTTAGAGGT